CTGTTCTTCATCTATTTTCTTCCCACTGGAGGTTTTTAATAAAATGTTGGATGACTTGGAGTCAGACATGTTTGGCTCGACTTTCAGGGCTGAATTTCAGAAATCTGTCAGTTTGAAAGTAAGTGTTGTTATGTCTACTGGTAATATTGTAAATTTTGTGCTGCTGGACGCTCTTGTAAAAGAGATTTTTAATCTCACTGAGGGTTTTTCTTGGTTAATTAAAGGAAAATAAACACCTTTTTGCATGTATTTGATCTGCTGCATAAACAGAATAAGTAGAACTCAGCAAACTGCAATAAGATAGAAACAGAAAATGCAAATGAAATGAAAGTGTTTGCTGCTCCCCTATGGTTTATCGGTAGCGTTCTGCTTGGCAGGTATTTGCCTCTTAGAAAGCTCAGATTTGCAGTGTGTGAAGCTGTTAAGTTGTGATTAATTACCTGATTAAATTACAAGCAAACTCAGTTAACTTGCAATTGCACACCACACTGTTTTCATTTGTAATGAAAATCCTAGCAATGCAGTGCTTTGTGTTTCTCTACCACATAAAATTCAAGCGAAATATAGTGTGATTATAACACAACTGAATGTGAATACCTTTGGGAGGTACAGTACAAGTAGTGCAGCATTTTACTGAACAACCTGCAGGTTAGTTTTCCTTTTGAAATTTCTGATAGTTCAGGTTTGACTTTTGCTTGTCGTTGTTGGGTTGAATCAACCCAACAATTCAGCCTTCCAGTGTGAACTTTGACCTGTAAAGGGTCACTCCAAAGTGACCCTTTACTTCCTTTTTTCCCTTTAACACCTGAACCAAAGTACACAGCATCCATGTTACACACAGTATAATCAACACAGCTACAGTTTGTTGGAGCAAATTATAAATGAGACCAGCACTAACTGGGATAAATGAACATTTACAGCTTTTAGTGTTAAATTTATGGCGATGATTGGTAATAAAACTCTGAACCTGTTTTATTCAGTGAAATGATAATTTGTTGAAATGTGGGTGTGAAAATAAACAGCTATGAGAAAGTAATAATGTCTTGAGTGATAGCTTTTTGACATTTCAAGAAGAGCAACTTCTAGAAAATCTTAAGATCCATTTTTCATTGGCTGTCTAATATGGCATATCACTCATATCACCAAAGTCCTCCTCTGATTGGTTGTACCTTGTGATAACTCCTCACCTGGAGTTCAGTCTGTGGATTCTGAATGAACATTAGAAAACATTGACAAGGAGAGTAGACGCTGACAAACCTTTTAAGATCTGATCGTAATAAATGTTTTCTTGCATCATATTTGACATCAGTGTGTCTATTCAACAGAAATAACTCTAGTTGAAAAGCAAGAGGCAGCATCACACAACGCAGAAGAAGAGCGTAGCAGCAAGATGGCGGATGCCCAGTTTGACCTTGTTCTTCCTGTGGAAACATGCAAAACTGGTTCAGAATCACATTCAGGAACCGGAACAGGTTCCGGCCCGGCGCATTTTCAGGTTGCAAAATTACACAAAAATCCAGTTTTTTCGCATAGCGATCAGAGTCAGTGTCTCTTACCAATTTACTTCAACCATATTTCCCTTCCTATTAGAATTCTGGTTTAGCTAAGAAATTTTACTGCAAGTTGGATCTGTGAGTCTTAGGCGCATGTTTCTGAGGGAGAGTTTTATGCTGAGCGTAAGAGAAAAAGGCAAAGTATGAATGTCAAACAGAGCTACAGATCGTCCAAGCTACAGACCCAAATATGGGATGTGTGTTTCTACGGAGCAGACTGTGCTAATGCATGGCTTGAGCTGTATGCCCATAAAAAGAATTGTCTTTCATAAGTTGCTGACGACTGTTTTTGCATTTCGACCTTCTGATCCTCCCTGGATCTCACACAGATCCGTAAGCTGCTGGTTTGAAATAAACTCTCCCTTTGTCCATGTGAACACAGCCCAAGAAAATAACTTTATTTTATTTCATTTCTGCCGTTCTGGCTGACTTTTGTTTAACTATTTAAGTCTTTTCCGTACAATATTAGAAATACTTTAAAATATGCAAATAAACATATTATTCAATTTCTTTTTAAAGTGCAGTAACAGCAATCCGTCAGTGAACGCTTCATTATTTGAAACAGGATTTTAACATCAACAAGTGAAACGCTCAGCATTTTCTGCTTGACTTAGCATCAGCTCAGTGTTCGGCTGATCTGGTGATTATTTTTGGGATTTAATGATTAATAACTGCATAGAAAAAGATGCTTAATATATTGCTTTTCTCCAGAATTTGAACCAGGTGAAGCTAAGCTACCACTTGAGGAACATTTTTACAAACAGAAGGTTTTTACTTCTTATTGTAAAATGTATATATTTTTGTGCAGTTTTGGTTTACTTGCATATTTTATTATGTTGTTCTTTCAGCAAATTAACCTTTTATGAGTCTTTATACTCATTAGTAAATTAGTAATTTAGCAAACAGTTATTTCAACAGTCAATTCATTATGATTAATCTGATTGATTGTTTCAGCCTCAGCTTTTTGCGCAGTTACTGATTAGTTTTCAGATATTAATGAATAACATTTATTGGTTTATGTTGAAGTGCTGAGTTTTGACTTGACTTTCCTCCAAGATAAAGAGCAGAAAACGGGAGGAAAAAACCCAAACAGCTGGGAAAAAACCAAACTGTGTAGCACAGTGACGCCCAGTTTCACACTCAGCCGAACCGGTTTCACTCCGGAACTCTGGATGTGTTTACAGTAACAGCTGATTCAGCACTCACCAGGATAAATAAGCCACGCCCACGACTGACAGCGCTGCCAGCGCGTGCCTCATCTGCGGGTATGTGTGAGGCTGCACCAGCACTTCTCCGAGCAAAACAGGAAGGACCAACGTGTGCTGTGGAAACACCGGAGCAGAGGCACAGTGAGCACAGCGAGTTTAGGTTAGGAAAACCAGAAAGGAGGGAAATAAAGCAGAACAGATACCATGGCGTGGTTTATCCAGGGAGGGAAGAAGGCATCGATGTTTGCCGGATAGACTAACTCTCTGTCATAGGCAAAGATTGTCCAGAAGAGCACAACCACGAACTACAGGATTCAGAGGCCACAGTTAGAGCAGAGAACTACTTTTTAAACATGTTTTATTATTTTATAGTAGTAGAACACAGTAAAACACTTTTTCTTGGTATGATTTTAACTTATGGAGTTTACATTTTCTCCCTGGGTTCATCAGTTTATCCAAATTGCTAATATAAATACTTTTTTAAATTTAAACAAACTATTTCAGATGAGTATTAAATTAGGACACCCCCATATTTAATCCAAATCAAATTGACACAGAGGTATAAAACATCAGTTAACAGTTAGCTGTCTGTGATTCTGAAATGAAACAGAAGATTGTGCTGAGATCCAAGCGGCTGGATGAAACCTTCAGTAAGAAGATTGCAGCAGTTTAAGTCTGGTTAGATTTAAAGAGCTTAAAGTTAACCTTTAAAGGCCAACATGCCCAGATCTGGTTGGCATGCAAACGTTCATCCTGAAGACAGACTGCAAGATGCAAACCACAAAACATCAGCAGCAGGCTGATGTTGTACTTTTGACTGGAGGTTCAACTTTTTAATGAGTAGTAGGAAGAGAAAACTTTTGCTTTCTGAAAAGAACTTAAAGGCCTGACTCAATACTGTCAGAGAAAACAGACAATGTTCAAACTTCTGGAAGGAAATGTTCCTTCCAGAAGGAAGGACCACTGAATGATTTCATCTAAACTGAAATCATTCAGTTTAGATGAATCTAAAACTGAATCAACTGGACATAAGAACCAGAGAACAGGCAGGAAAATCCTCTCACACCAAGAGTGAAGCACAGAGCAGCTGCGTATCAGATTATGTTTCAGGAATATTTGAGACTATGTTACTGGCCCAAAAACGTTAAAATGTAGCATGAAATATATTTATAAACAAACAATTTCAGGTGAGAACTCACATTTATTTCCACTCAAAATGAGACAAAAGTGTAAAACATTTTGGTCTTATACTCAACTGAACTGTCTGAGGATAAAAATATGGGAAGTTATGAGTCATTAACTTCTTGACTTTATATACAGTAGAGTAGGGGTGTCCAAAGTGCCGGCCTGGGGCCATTTCTGGCCCGCCGAAGTATTTTGTGCAGCCCGTCAACCTCAAATATAGAATATGGAGCAAATAGTAGCAGAAGTGGTTGATACAGATGGACTTTTTTTATTTTATCACAGATTAACAAAATCTTAAAATAAAAAAAATTGGCACAAAATTCTTTCCTTTTTAAAGTTTTTCCATTAATTTTAATTTTGGAGTAAATAGAACCACAAATATTGAGCTACTTTTACTCAAAAGTAAATCTTCCAGCCCTCCTCCCCCCAACCTCTAAAGAAAACAATCAACCCTAAAAATTTTGAAATTGAGATGCTAAAATATAATAATGTAATAATTCAAGAAATTTTTTACAATGCATACAAAATGATACAGTACAATTTTTACTTTTTGATTGTGAAAAACTAGATTTTTTTTTACTTTCAACTTGGCAAAAAGTTTGTACACCGTTGCTATTATTAGAGGATGGTGTGAGGCAACGTTTCCTCTGCTAGAAAATGTTTTTAATGTTTAAATACAGTCTCTTTGTTTTCCAGAGATCAATACACGAGATTAGACCTTAAATGCAAATATTAATAAAGAACTGCCTTTTTTTTAAATTATAAGATCGTTTTGTAAATAAATAAGAAAGCTGAATTTACTGGCAGGATTTTCTCACCGTCCCAACAGGGAAGGCAAAGACGGAGAACAGGAGGTCTTTCCATCTGTTCAGCAGGCTCTCTGCCTTCTCCCCTGGTTGGAGATCGTTCACTGCTGCCAGGCCGAAGAACGTCATTTGCAATAACTGAGAAAACACCAGCAAAATTATTCAGTTTCACCTGCACAACATATTCACCACAGTCATCACCGCTAAACGTGCTCACCAGGTTCAGAAAGGTGAGGTACTTCCATGGTCCCCCATAGACGAAGATCCCTGCAGGTAGCTCCTCTCCATCCTTTGCTGCCAGGTAATTCACAATGAAAGTGTACCAGCTGAACGCTGAGATGTGGAACGCTGCCCTCAGGGTGGAAGGCATTTTTAAAGCTTATGTTGAACAAAAATAAATTATTAGAAACTCAGGAGAACTAATCTAAACGAGCTCAAGTATTCCCTTCAGATGTGAGTATTTCAGGCAGAGAAGGTCTTTATAGATTAGTGTGATTCAGTCCAAGCTTATTAAGATGCTGGTGAGACGCAAAGCGACATTTTTAGACAAGAGGCTCTCTGTTTGTTATGATACGTAACATTTCTTCTTTCACAATCAACCCTGTGACTGAACGGTGAATTTATTCACTGTGGGAGCCTGTTAATCTGTTTCACAAGAGAAGAACTAAAAGTACAGCAAGTCCCATTTCGCTGCTCTAAGTGTTTCAAAACCAGCATTTGGTGTCATTACAGGGGAGCTGAACTGTCTGAACTCAAGTCTGTAGAGCTTAATATCGAACCTTTAACAGCAAATGAACGACAGTCAGAAAGAAACAATAAAGTCGACATGCCTGGTTATAGTGTCAAATTTTAAAAATCAACAAATAATCCTGCAAAGTTATAATTATTCTACACAAAGCTACATGAAAAATGCAGAAAAACAAATGTACTCTTTTTACATTTTGTCAAATTATATATATATACAATTACGATTATGACTCAATGCCACACACCTGGATCATTGAATGCTTAGAGATGTACAACATCAATAGGACTCTAAGAGCCTCTAAGAGCCTTCAATGCAAACTCGATGGGGCTGTGGAAAACCACCCTTGAAGCCAACCGCAAACCACTTGCACAAGTGTCCATCAAATGTGGCATATACCAAGGAGATGCTCTGTCCCCACTGCTGTTCTGCATAGGCCTGAACCCCCTCAGCCAAATCATCAACAAGACTGGCTACGGATACCGACTCAAGAATGGGGCCACAATCAGTCACCTCCTCTACATGGATGACATCAAGCTGTACGCCAAGAGCGAGCGAGACATCGACTCACTGATCCACACCACCAGGATCTACAGCACTGACATTGGGATGTCATTCGGACTAGAGAAGTGTGGTCGGATGGTTACAAAGAGAGGGAAGGTCGTCCGCACAGAAGGGGTCTGACTCCCAGAAGGAACAATAGCAGACATTGAGGACAGTTACAAGTACCTGGGAATAAGAGATAAAGGCCACGGATGTTAAGACCCGGAAGCTACTAATCATGCATAAAGGGTTCCACCCCAAACCCAGCACCCTGAGACTGTACACGAGCCGTAAGGAAGGAGGCAGAGGACTAGTGAGTGTGAGAGCCACTGT